GGTTCTGTACACCCGGGTCAACAATACCCGCGGTACGGGTAAACATTTGTGGAACTACCCTCCACAAGTGTGATTACCCCGGTGGGCTGACGTCACCTCTACGAACCAAACTTGAAGCGTACCCTCTACCCTCACGAACTCACACACAGACCGGCGGACCCTCCCTGCAGATCTGTTATACATGCCACACATCCCACAAACAACGCACGGTATCGGTTTGAGAGGTAGAAGTGTCGGGGGGTGGGCTGTATGGGAGATAGTCCTTTTTGTTTCTCACTGTTGTCCTGAGACACGTCGAATGGGAAAGGTTTTTTACGCCTGTTGGCGCGTGGTAGTCGTGGGGGTACTTCAAATTCCCTGCTACTGAGTGATGTTCAAGATCAAGTGTTGATCTTACTTTCGTCGTTTAATTTTGTTTCCTCTGGGAAGTGGGGAGGGTAGGATTGTTGACGGACAAGCAAGGAAAAGCTCGGAAACGTTGCATTTTTCTTGCGCTTTTTTTTTTGGCAGGAGTTGGATTTCTAAGCCGACCTTCTTCCGCGTTTCACCTGGAAAGTTCAGGATTGGGGTCGAGGGTCCGTGCGTACGCGCGCACGTTTCAATTTATCTTGAATCTTGGTCAAGGCACAAAAGTGTGCCAGTACAAATTAAATTTCACGCGGGTACCGCTGGTTCAGCGCTCACTTTTTTATGAGACAGAAAGAGGTACTGGGTAGAGAGACCGGGATGGTTTTGTAAAGTGAAGACAACAACAACAAAAACAACAACAACCGCGGGTAGGTACCGTCTTCGACTACCCCACAAACGAGTTCTGTGAGTTCTGTGAAGGTCGCGCCGCAATACCCTATAGTTCTGTGAGTTCTGTGACAGACCCAGTACCCTACCGACCTTTCTGTGACAGCTCGCTTACAGAACTCGACAGTTCTGTAAGTTCTGTGACGGCGCACCACCATACCCTATAGTTCTGTGAGTTCTGTGACAGAACCAGCACCCTGCCGAACTTTTCTGTGAGTCCTGTGACAGACCCAGTACCCTACCGAACTTTTCTGTGACAGCTCGCTTACAGAACTTGACAGTTCTGTGAGTTCTGTGACGGCTCACCACAATACCCTATAGTTCTGTGAGTTCTGTGACAGATCCAGTACCCTACCGAACTTTTCTGTGACAGCTCGCTTACAGAACTTGACAGTTCTGTGAGTTCTGTGACGGCTCACCACAATACCCTATAGTTCTGTGAGTTCTGTGACAGATCCAGTACCCTACCGAACTTTTCTGTGAGTTCTATGGCACACCCATTACCCTACCGAACGTACCCTTACCCTACAGAACCTACCCTTGAAAATTTGTATCCGTACTTGGTTGCAGGCGAGGTTGTCCAAGCCCGAGAATGTCCATGCCTTGCCGCGAAAACTATGTACCAGCCGTTGTCCACAGAGTACACGACACGCCGATTTATCGGACATTCGCGGCATATATAAAAAAATAAAACTTCAAGAGTGCCGGCATTTGTAAGACAGATTTTTTAGTTGAATGAATACCGTTGGACGCGCAAAAATATAAACATTACACCCCGCCCCCCCCGGTGTTTGCCATCGGGATTGGGTTTCGTCGCTTGGCAACGACGTTGTAAAACAAGCCAATTCACTTCGTGAACTCGGCAACCAGGTTATTACCGTTTTTTCTTTTACCTTCGGTTTTTTTTTGGCGGTAACCATAATCATAATGGTGGTCGAGTAGATCATGTTGTGCGGGGTGGCGAACCCTCATTCCGCGCAAGGGGGATGATCGCACCACGTTGTGTTGAAA